TTCTTCCTCCCTTTTCTCATCTTTGACTCTTGCAGTGCAGTCACTTCATTTCACAGCACTGCATTTTGGCTAATAAGAAAGTGAGGAAGGATGCAGAGAGCAAGAGGTCTCTGTGGGGAGAGTGTGCTTAAAGCCCGTGGCATCCAGTGTGAGATAGGGCTGTGGGCCACACTGCGGTGACGATACCATCAAGTGTCACCTACCTGTGACACTACCGCTTTGTTATCCCTTGGGGGAATGGCGGTGAGGCAGGACTGTGGGAAATGTGCCCCTTTGCTTATGAAAAATCTGTGTATTCCTTTTAGTGGTAGCAAATTGCTTGATTTTTCTTTTTATATTTGTCAGTTGCAACTTCTGCTTGGAAAAAACTTCATAGGATAAAAAAGTCATGCTTGCATAGTTACATCTGACCTGAAAGTTCTGTATGGGCTTGGGAAACTGGAATCACCCACTAGGCACAAGCAAAATCAGGACTAGCCAGAGCTCAAAGATCAAAATAAAAGCAGGACAGGGGAAATCCACTGACTGCAATACATTCAGTCATAAGGGATTCATGGAGTAATTTTGAGTTGCAAACACATCGGTAAGAACTGGAGGTTTTGTTTCTTTCTTTTTTTTTTTTGGGGGGGGGAATTGTCCACAAACAAAAATATTGGCTAATTCATCAGACACTTTCTTCTGCTTTGAATAGTTTGCCCAGATCCCCAAGCAACCATCCCGTGCAATTTGCTGTTAACCTAAATAACTTAAATTCAGGTACACCCAGAGCACTGCCCAGATCTGCCCCTGCATGCAATAATTAGGGTTCTCCAAGCGCAAACCTGCAGCTCGGGAGGCAGGAGGCTCCGCCAGCATCTCCAGATGGCTACCTGCCGGCGGTGGCCCATGGCAGGGACAGGGCAGAGATGCGCCTCAGTGTGGCATGGCTGCGTGGAGAAGGTCTCTGTGGAAACATGCCACTTGCAGGTGGCACCGTTCCCCTAAGCAAACGCCCTGTGGAACTGCAGCCTGGTAAAGACAGACCTGCTCTGTCGCACGACAGAGGGGCAGAGACAGGCAGGAGACCGAGACAGGCCGGGTATTGCATTCCTTACCTGTGAAATAACCCCTTACAATCCAAATGCTTGGGGAATTCCTAGATCTCTTTGTAGCCACATTTCGGCGGTGACAGCACGAGGATTTAAGTGAGGCAGACTCTGAAGGGGGAGATTATTATCTGCTTTTAGAGCAATGGGGAGAAAGCAGTTGAAAAAAACAGACCTGCTTGTTACAAACCTCATCTTACCTGATCCTGCTGCTAAGAGGAGGGAACGTACAAGCCGTCCAGTGCACCGAGTTACTCAGAAATGACTGGTTTTGAGTAAATCTTTCCAGCACTATTCAGGAATTAGCTACTGTCTTTCAGATTTATATGTCCATTAATCCAGAATTAACCTTCAAGTGTAGGCAAGCCCTAACACTTGAACTATGTAAGGAAGGATCTTCTGGAGCAGAAGAAGCAGGCAAAGACAAGCTACTTGATTGAATCAAAGATCCAGTTTAGGCTGAAAAATAGGGTAATTAGAAAGTTTGTCCAGGGCAGCGGTGAAAACTGTTGCAGGGATATTTAGACACAAACAGGGCCCTGCTGCACAAGTCCCCAAGGGCAGGATGGCTCCTCGGCACAGCTCTGCGCTGGGAGACTGACCACAGCACTTCCACCACTGGTGCTGAGGACTCTCCAGCTGGGAGCAGGGGGTTTGGAGTGGGTGGTGTGTGTGCGCGGGTGGAGTTGTGTACACTCAGCCTTCTCAGACAGCCACAATAAATTATCTCATTAGTAAACCCAGGGTAGCTGTGCTCCTCAGCACATACCCGGCCTCCCACAGCAGAGAAAAACTTTGTGTCTAATTAACCAAATCAAAGGGTCCATCAGACACAGCTTAAAGCGACGTGCTCAGCTTGAAACCCTGGCTTCCTCAGCAAGTTGTTCTGCACATAGTGGAACTAATGAGCCTCGATTTCCCATGGCTGGAGGTCTGGCATTTGCTATGTCCCCTGCAACTCTGTCCTCTCCTCCCCGTGGCACAGGCCCAGCCAAGGGCCAGGGACAACCAAGGAGGGAAGAGGAGCCCATGGTCCAGTACCCCCAGCCCCATGTGTTGACAGGCTCGACTGTGCTCACATGCTGGCGGCAAAGACCTGAGCTCTCACCTGGGGGGTTTCTTCATAGCAAGGGGCCCCTTGAGCTCACCCTTTTCTTCCCTCCTGCCTTTTTTCCTCATGTCCTTAACACCTATTTCCCCATAGGTGCTCGTGGCTCAGCTCGGCAGGACAGGGCTACCAGGGAGAGACAGACCAGCTGCACAGGGAAGGGAACCCCGCTCCCTCAGGACGCATGACTGGGAAAAGGAAAAATGCAGTGCTGCTGGTGCAGGGGCTTTCCAGTTACATTGCTCTGGTTTTACAACTGCTTGCCCTCCTCTCCTCCTTATTAGTGGGCAAAAGACAGGCAAATGCTGAATGTCAAATGCTGCTGCTCCAGTTGTCAGCAGAATCGCACAGCACAGCTGCCGGGGCAGGTGAGCTCCCTGGTGCTGTGGGAGTGAGGATTTGGGGGTGTTACACCTTGGAAGAGGAGACCCAAGTCATGTTTATTTGAGGCACAATCCCTCTCCTCCCAAGTGTAGCAGCTGCAGTTTTCCCCCTGCCCACCCAGCTCCTGTGCTAAGGAGGTGGCTTCCTTTACAAACGCTTTTTTCTTCTCCTCGTGCTGGAGATTTGATTCTACAAAAACACTTACACAGCAGCTAATTGGCAACCCTGCAGTGACTTAGCTCCCTAATTCCTTCCAGCCAATGAACCAGCCCAAAGAGCTGGTTTTCATAACTTGATAAATGTACAAACACAGCCTTGGGGACATAAGATAGCTGCGATTTTTTTTTTCCTGGAAAACTTCTGGATCCTTCTCAATTTTGGAAATTTCTTGCACCCCATAGGGCATAAGGAACATCCAAAGGCAGAGTGAGCAACCAGGCCCATCCCAGGGAGACATCAAGCAGACATGGACCCACAGAGGCACCGGAGACCAGCTGGGGTGCCAGGGAAGAGATGATTGTCAAGAAATTGGTTTGAAGGTAAAACTGGCGTCGTCCAGCCTGTCTGTTTGTGATTTGAGGACTCATCATCATCTCTCTATGGATTCCTACCTCCCAACAATGTCCACGCCTTGCAAATGTTTCCTTGATCTGCTGGTTTGTATCCAGAGGGGTGCTGCAAAAATTGTTGTGCTGGCCGATGGCTTAGACCACATCATTCCTCCCCACACTCCTCCCTGGCACCTTCTTTTCTTTGCCCCAATTGTGGACTGTTCATTTTCCCCCTCCCAACCCTTCATTATCCACGTCTCCTCCACCCATCATCTCCCATGCACCAGAGGCCAACTCCGTTGCCCATTTCCAACAAGCCCCTTCATGCTCTCCCCTGCCCTGCTCCACACCTGGGAGAAGACACCCTCTGAGCATTTGCAAAGCCACCACACTGCCCTCCTTGAAGCTCTCCTCTGTCCCAACATCTGCAGAAACCCTCACAGCAGAGCCGCCTTGCACCCTGCACGCAGCCGTTGCTCCTTCACTCCTGCCCGGGCTGTGCAGAGCTTTGTCACTTGTCGTAGGCTCTGTGGCTCTGCAGCACTCAGCGGAACATGGTCCTCACGCCGTGGCGGGAGCCAAACACCGAGCCAAGCCACGCTTGGGCCAGTGACTCCAGAGATAGGATGGTGCTTCACCCACAGCCGCTGAACTTGGGCACAGCGAGGTAGCCGCTCCCCCACCCCAAGACAAACCCTT